CCCAGCAGAAAGAGCAGCGGAGCACCTTCCCCGTCTCGCCCCGAATCGTCAGCCGGCCTGCCCCTGGAATGCAGCATGATGGAGAAGAGACACCGTTTCGCTTTGAGGGAAGGAGCATCCTGGCCAGACCCACGGCGAATCCCCAGCATGAGGCTTGGAGTAATGAGAGGTGCGTCAGATTCCTGAGAAAGCTGAGGCGGGCGACACCCCACGTGCAATCGCTTCAAGGTCATTCCGGGATTAATAACACTCCTTCAGACTATGGTGAAGTCTGATGGGATTCCTTGCTGTAAGTGAGAAAAGCAGGTCAGATCCTTAGTGGAGGACCAGAAGGACTATGGACTTTGGTGCGAGTCGTGCATTCACAAGCAGTGGGGGGTCGGGGCTGTGGGGTTTGGTTTTAATTTTAGGCGGTGTGACCGACGGGGGACTGGCTACATCCTTCGTTCTAAATGTAAAAAAAAGAGCAAAAAATAGCTTAGCGTGTAGAACAGCATTTACTTTGTTTCCTCACTGAAATACACTTTGTCCAATTATTTCAATTCAATATCGATAAAGGCCCTTTCGTAACAAAGTTGCCCCAAAGCACTTGAAAAGAATGTGTGGTAATCCATTATTACATCATTTATACAAAATGGTGCATAAGACGGAGAGGAGAGAAAAAGAAGGAGAAGAGGAGGAGAAGAGAATCAAAATGTCATATATGGGTTAAATGCAGGACACATTTCGTTGTTGCGTAGTCTGATGTGGTGTGTCAACAATGACCACTGATCACCAAATTCTAAAATTCTAATTCTGAAACTCCTGTTTTGGGGGGAAAAAACCTCTGGGAGTCACCTGGGTGCCCAACCAACAAACAAATCTTTCTGATACATTTCTGAGCCTGACAGCGACGTGAGGGAGTTTAGATTATTTCATTGCATCTATTGGAATTTGTGTTAATCACTCATTTTTTTAGTCCTCTACAAAAGTTTAATTATGCGACGGAAACTATTCCAACACAGGCACCGGACTGCCACCTGAACAGCAAGCAGAAAGATCTCATGTCATCAGACCATCTGGCCCTCGAAACGCCCAGCAACAGATCATTACTGGGGCAAGACATTCAGCAAGACGTGCCAGATGACACAATCATTCATGTTGCTCAAGGAACAACATATTAAATATTAAAAGTAAGACTAAGTCTAACTGATGTGCAAAACAGACTGCAAAATAAGACTGTACAACACATGAAGAGAAAGAAGCTAAAATCATAGACAAGTAAACAGGACTTGGACAGACACACTCTTTACACATTTCCAGAGTACAACAATCTTAATGCTGTAAATATGTCCAGTATTTTTAACCAATAGGGTCAGCTGTCAGACTGTCACAATACAGCAACATACAGCAAATATTTACAGTATTAATTCTGGTTTAACGCAGTAGTCAAGGCGTAAAGAAAAGTGAATAAATGATGGGACAGGAAAACCCTGAGCATCCAAACATTACAAAGTTAAAAAAAAAAAAAAAACACACACACACACACACACAAAACTTCATTCATGTGTCCAACATTCTCTGCATAGCTACTTTAGCACAGATAGAAGATGGATTTAGACGCCAAAAACAGAAGCCAGTTTGTGTCCAGAGATATAAATTCCGTTAAGTACGAGAGAGGATCTGGCTAACGACAGCGGCTCGTGTCTTACAGCGGGTCTGCTTCACTCAGGAAGCCCAGCGAGTGACAGAGAGAAGCGAAACTCTTTACAAAGCGTCAGACCGCTATCGAGCCGCGAAGCGTCAGACCGCTATCGAGCCGCGAAGCGTCAGACCGCTATCGAGCCGCGAAGCGTCAGACCGCTATCGAGCCGCGAAGCGTCAGACCGCTATCGTGCCGCGAAGCGTCAGACCGCTATCGAGCCGGTTAACCGTGGGCTGGTTTCTCCGCAGCCGTCGTCCTCTTGGGCACCAGCAGACCTTCTTAAAGCCATTCGGCTTAAATTAGCTGCCCCCCCCCCCCCCAGCAAGCAGGTCCCGTCCAGCACATCGCGCTCAGCTGAGGGTAGGCAAGGCACCCCCTGTGGGCTGGAACACCCCCCCCCCCCTGTATGTGTCCAGTCCACAGTGTGTCCCGCTCCAGGCCAGAGGAGCCTCCGACAGTCTCAGGGCAGGGGGGGCACATACCCAGCAGCCTCAGTGCCCCCCATAAACTTGAATTTTCACCAGCTTCCATTTTGCTCCATCCCCCCCCCCCAGGGGGGTGGCTCAGAGTCGCCAACGTGGAAACACAGACACATTCAAATAGAGAACAAATATAAAACAGATCGGGGGGGGTGGGGTTCCACTGTTTCTCCTCCTGACTGAAGGAGCAGATCCAGGACGAGGTTGGTGTGATCCCCAAAGCGGAGGGGGGTTCATCTTTCCCGCTGCAGCTCCATTCACCCCCTGGAATTCTGCAGGCGGCAAGGGGGGAGGACGCTCAAGCACATTCCATGCAGATTTGCCGATCTGTGGGTGTGAGAAAGAAGAGGGAAGATGGTCAGGAACGAGGAAAACTTTGGGAATTTTTCATAGCGGAAATTCCCATAATTTCTAAGTAAACTGGCCACAAGCCCGAATTCCTCACTTAATGCATGTGATTTATTTGTTAGTTTATTTATTTGTAACAATTTGGGGTGTTTAACTTAAAAATAAGCAGCTTTTAGAAAAAGTGCATGAATCACATAACCTGAGAAGGCAAGTTTGAAGAAAACCGTCTACAGTGTTTACCGCTACCTTAAAAACTTATCTTCTACGCTTTTAAAAGTTATTAGGAATATTTTAATCAAGCAGGAATGTTTCACGCTGGTTGTCTTACTTAAATGGCTACAATCTGTTTAAGTGGTCACACCTCAGCTGAAAGCACTCAAGCAAGGCACATTATTGCCATTTAACACTGCACACTGACACTGCACACTGACACTGCACACTGACACTGCACACTGACACTGCACACTGACACTGCACACAGAGTGTAACACCCAACATCTGATGTGGATCTGAAATATGGAAACATGTTTTTATTTAGAGATTAAAGCAACGCGCATTTAACCATTTAGACCACAAATATTCCCACTGAGATGGCCTCCTGAACGCCTATTGGAGTCCAGAACGTCCCGCTTACAATCCAGTGTCATAGACATTGGATCAGCATGTTGTTCTGTCTGGGGGTTTTTTAAAAATCACTCTTACACAGCAAAATTAAAAATATTCCCCTCCCCATCAGCACTTCAGGGTTCTTAAGAACTGTGGTGTTAGGCTTCTTTGTAGTGTTCTGGGCAAACACAGAAGGGATGTCGGAGTATTTGCATGTCACACATCTTACAACAACACTGCTGACACACCTTTGAGTTTCACCACCCTGTGTTTCCAGTGAAGTCGAGGTTTCGGCCAATCTCCCACGGTGAGAAACGGTCCCAGTAAGGAGAAGGAGCAACGCGGGATAAACCGGTTCCCCGTCCTGTCACATCGTTGACCCGCTGCCCAGATTCCAATCGGAACCTGAAATTCAGGTCTGTGCACGGCGGTCACACCCACAGGCGACACGGATCGCTGCCTAGCGATGAGTTAAGGCCCCACACCCCTGTTTCGGCAGCCTCACCAGGGCTGTCACCAGGGCTGTCACCAGGGCTGTCATTCGTCACCAAAGCTCATCATGCCATCGTCACGGTTGAAAGACAGCTGCCATTTCAGTTACGCTCATCAAACTTATTAGTGAATTCGACAGACAGCCC